CGGTGTCGAATCGTACTGTGGTCAAACGGAACACGCCCGTTCTAAGTCTATAAGTATATTAAATAATAATATAACTATAGTACATAATTTCTTGGCTAATATCCCCAAAAATAATAAATTAGAAAAGAGCATAACGAACAAAACAAAACAAGTATCCAATTAAAAAATCATCCTGAAATTGTTTTTACGCGTGCTGACAAAGATAACATGACGGTTGCTGTAGACAACTTGGAATATATTAACAAAATTGAAGAGCTGTTGAGTGACGAGACAACTTATTCTAAAGTTTTTAACAAAAACCCCGTAAAAAAAATTGAAGAAGAACTCAATAAAATACTAAAAACTTGGCGGGATACATCACAGATTTAACATTTAAATTTTTAAAGTCGAGCGATGGCTTAATACCGCGTGCTTATGGTGTTCCCAAGGTACATAAAAAAGGAACGCTATTTAGAATGTCTTGTCTTTAAATAGCCCTTTATATAAATTATCCGATTATTTTAATAGAATAATTTTCTCAAATATCCCAAATGCAAATAATAGCATACTTAATAGTTTTGAGGTTGTTAAAAAAATACAAATAATCAAAGTACACTATTATATTATGTTCTCAATAGATGTAATATCTCTATTCACAGATGTACTAATAGATTTAGCCATCAAAAGTATAAAAATTAAATGGAATATTAGGGAAAAAACAAAGATACCATTAAGTGAATTTCTAAAAGCAATTGAATTTACTCTAATATCGACCTATTTTGTATTTAATGACAATATATACAAAAAAAACATTTGGTTTACCAATGGGGTCCTCCTTCATTGTATCACCCATTATTTTAAATTTGATGATGCAAGACATAGAAAAACAGATTTTTAAAAAATTACATTTCAAACCCAGTTTTTATTATAGATATGTTGACGACATAGTAATGACTACTTCAATTGAAGACTTAAATTATTTACTAAAAAACTTCAATAGTTATCACAAAAGTTACAGTTCATCATGGAATTGATCCAATAAAGTCAGAACTATGCGAGAACTGCAATAGACTTGTCAGAACTCTTAGAAAACGTGCTGCGTATCACATTATTAACGTACAGTAAAAGACGCTGTCACCTGAATAATAAACTCTGGCGTTAGCAAATTGTTTTTACTATTTATTTATCAAAACCATGTATTTTTCTTTGTATCTGGTATTATTCAATGTTTTTAATATAAGAAACAAATTAATACCGCTTCTTAAAATCTCTATTTTTATTTATAAATTTAATAATTAAAAAAGAACGATGCGAGAGCTATTTCTGTCACCCCCTAAAATGAAAAAAATGAGACATATTGACCAAATTTTCATCATTTTTTGGTCTTAATAAAAATCTCGATTTCAAATGACTTAAAAATGACTTTTTAGTGACTTTTTTTATTGTGCCGTTTTTGACTTTTAAAAATATCAATAATGTTTTTTTAAAAAAATTAGTTTTTTGAAAATATGTTTTATATACTATTTAAGATGGCTGTTGTGTAAAAAAGTTTTATAAAACAATTATTTATTTATCTACGTAAATAATAATTTTTAAAAATAATTACTTGCAAAAAATGTATTAGATAAATGTATTTAGATAAGTTTATTATACATCTTTTATATAAAACATTCTAATTTTGTTAATTTTAGTTCTAAAGGCACATTATATTTTTTTACTTATTTTTGTATTATTTATTTTTTAAATACAATTACATGCAATAAAATTTAATACTGATGTTTTATTATTAACAATAATAATAATTTAGTTTAATGTAAAATGTACTTTTTTTTTCAAACTGTATTTATTGCTTAAAGAGCCGTCTACAATGGAGAGTTGTAGGCCGTAAGAGTAAGAAATTGACCAATCACAGACAAAGTACAGAAGAATAATCGATTGTGATTTGTCAATTTCTTACTATTACGTTTAAAACTCTCTATTGTAGACGACCCTTAACGCGTAACGCCTAACCAATCAGAGAGATTACGTATTTAATATGAAACATATATATTAAACACGTAATCTCTTTAATTGGTTACGTGTTACGCGTTACGCGATGAATAACAGTAGGATCGCACCCTTATATATAATTACATATGTATGGCGATAATTTTTTGTGATATATATGCACCTAGGTGGTGCACTTTGACTTTTTCAATGCTGATTGGCTATTTCATATGACAGTCTAACGCGACTGCGCCATGCCTTTTTTTATCGATCCAAGACGTCTTGTTGGGCGATCGATAATGTAACATGTGTGTGCTTATAACCCTAAGATCTTGTGTATATAATCCAGTGGTTTAATTAAAATCCTCGCTGTTTAATTTGCAAAATGTCAAAAGAAGTAGATCTTAATTTTTCAAGTTCACACACACACCCACCCACACCCACACACACACACACACACACACACACACACACACACTTTTTTCATATATTACAACTTTTAATATTATTCTGCTGTATATTGTTCATAAAAAAAATAAAAAATAAAAACTATAATATCTTGTCATAAAATACTTCGTCATTTTTGGGCTACATTTGATATCAAATTTTAACATTTTAATATATTTTTTGTGCATATATATTTTTATACATATAT